GAAGTCTGCAGATTTTTCACAAGCACAGTAAAGATGCACACTAATCGACAGGGTGATCTCTAAAAAGCCCAACATGGGCTCTTTAAAGATGTATGGCTCAAAAACCTCAGCCCTCGTGATAGAAAACCAGAAAATTTCCCCGACCCCGTGAGAGGCCCGAGCAGAAACACTGAATAAACATGACAAACACAAACAGGTGCTCGTCGAACCAACAGACGTCGAGCCAAAAATAAAACAGCAGCGAGCAAACAACAGACCTCAATCAGGCGATATATTTAAAACATCTTTAATTGTGCTGTTATAAAATTCAAACAGAGTAGAAAAAATATCTTTTTTTTTTCTTCCAAACATCTAGCTCAAAAACAAGAGCGCGAGCGTCGTACTATAGATCTGAAATACAATAATTGTGGGTTTTAAAGTGATATTTCGTACTTTTTTTTGCTATTCTCAAGTGCTCTGACCCAATACTGGCTGTTCCAGGTGTCGGGATATTTCCTCCCGCCCCCTTATTATCGTCCCACTGCAAACTCTTCCAACATTCAAAGAAACTTAACTGGGGCAATGGAGTTCCAGATTTGTGTTTATGCCTCTTTTTTTTCCTCTTTCCCTCCCCCCCCTCAACTCCGATGCAATTTTTAGCTATTTTCAGCGATTTCAAAGCGGAAATGGGTGCAGCAGGCAGAGACGGAAAAGCTGGAACAACAACAGTGCTGGCTCACACCTCAGGGGCACCTGAAAGGCAGCAAGTCGGAGGCTGATTCCTGCCTCGAGAGAAATATCACTTTAAAAACCAGGTACACAGTGTAAACAGCAGAATGCGTAAAAAATCTGTAGCCCTGTAGACGAAGAAAGACAAATATATGTTGTTGTTTTTTTACACTTTTAACAGTAAATAATATTTTTTTTGTGATGCTGCTGGCAGGAGACCAAAAAAATAATAAGAAAATTAGTGTTTTTCTTTTCTTGGCCGTCACATTCGTTTTCCAGAAAGCGGCCGTCGTGATGTAGTGTGACACATGTACAGTACGGTGCAGCGTATGATCCACCTCAGATTTAAAGCACTCCGCTGTGAGAAGCCACTTAAGACGTCTAGTTTTCTATCCACGCTACAGATCCCAAGGTGCAAAAATAAACGATATAAATATGGTGGTTTTAATGGCGGCGTGTGTACAAATACATAGTTCAGTAACGAGACACACAAACATGGTTATATTTACATTCTTTGTCAATTAAAAGCATCTCAGCAAAGAGTCTTTTCTATAACACTGATGTCGACGATAAAAAATAAAAGCTCAGCATCGGACGTGCAGAACCTGAAATCGAGTTCCGAGCAGGGACGTCGTTTGTTTTGTGAGTCCATCGCACTTCAGTGGTCGCCGTTTGGTTGTCTACACACCGCTCGCTTTGAAGAAGGAGAAGAAGAAAAAAAGGAGAGAGCCGTGATTGGTCGAGAGTCAACCTTGGAGCTGTAAAGGAGGTTAAAAAATGACGTCATGAGCGTCGCCGTTAGGCCGCGGCCTATTCGCCACGGGCGGGAGAGGCTTCTTGTAAAATTCTGTGGAAGGGGAGGAGAACAAAAAAGGTTTTGGCTTTGTTAGTGCACTACATCCACTGAGTCCTGGAATTAAGAAGAAAAACAAAACAAAACACAAAAGCCATTAAGATGGAAGAAGATGCTGCGCGGGAGGTTGTTTGCGATGTGAAGACTGGAGGGGAGAAATGAAAACAAGCCTGATTAAGACGTCGGCAGCCATGAAGGATCCACACACATTCCAAACATGGAGAGATGCAGGAGAAGAGAGGCGGGGGGAGAAAAAAAAAGAAGAGCAAAGTGATGCTAATTAACAGTCGGCACACGTCTCGAGGCAGACAGAGTTCAGTGTTTCCTCTGCAACACCACGCGGAAATTTACCACAAAACAAATCTTTAAAAAGAGTTTTTATCTGGAGGAAACACTGATCTGGCCCCCCCTGTGACAGATGAATGAGTTAATCCACATCCAAGACCGGGTTAGTGAGACAGTGACGGGTTCGTTAATGCATGAAATTAATTTATGGAGAGGGGGGGGGGGTTCGCAGGCGGCTTTACCGGAATGTCTCGTGTCCCCGAGTGGCTCTAGTTTTGGCAGTCTAGAGACTTTGGGTGTGGCCCATCCCACTAAAACAGAAACAAAATAAACACACACTGATGAAGACAAATGTGGGATTAGAGCACTGTTCGCTTCTTTGGGACGGATTTGACGGCATCTGACAGCAACGCCGGCTACTTTCTCTTCACTCGCTGCCTTTAATCTCCTACAATTTCACCATCAGCTGTCAAACGGCTCCATCGATCCCGCTCCGACGGCGACGATGCTCGCGTGGAGCCGAAGCCCTTCGAGGTGAACGCGGTTGTGTAGGTGGTGCTTTTTGTTGGCGGCGGAGCCTGTCGCGCCGAGCTCTTATCTAACGGCTCACTGTGGCTGCTTGTTCTGTTTGTCCCCGCGATGCTTAAAGCGGGTGGGCTGACCAAACAGCGGCACATGTGTTGCTATCAGAGCCGGGTTTTGTTGACAGTGGAGCTAAACAGCCCAGCGACCGGCACGCTGTTGCCCATTCCTCCCACTGGTTTGGAGGTAAAAAAGACAGTTCATGTGAAGGCTTATCGTGGTGAGTAAAGGCTACGAAATGGAGCTTTTTCCCCACGTGATAGAATTAAAGCCGGCCTTTAGAGAAGCAGCATGCTCACCTGGAGGAGGTGGAGGCGTGGGCATCTCCGCGGCGCCGTCCTCCGTCCTCAGCGGGTCGACTCTGTGCTTCCTCTTCAGGTGCAGCTTGCTCGTCTTCTTCTTGCTCTGCTCGCCCGCCGAGGCTGAACGCACACAAGACATTTCGCCGTTAGAATCCTGCTGCTCGTCAGACTTGCGCGAGTTTAAACTGCTCTTTGTGTCCCTTAATTATTCATACAGTCGTCTTCTCTCTCTCTCAGTTAAGCATCAGAGGGTATCAGACGGTTGCTTCATTCGACTGGATCTCGTTTAAATGTTAAAATATCTTAAGTAAACACTTGTTTCATCATTTGCTTTCAAAGGAAGAACAAGCTCCGACCTTCCCCCTCCGTGCTGTTAAGCCGAACCACATGCTGCTACAGCAAAGGTTCTTCAAAGATCTTCTCTGCCTTCACATCTCGCCACATTAATGTATAAATTCACTATAGATTTAACTGTTTTATTCAATCAAAGCAGCACACATTAGATCATTTGCTCACTTTAAACTCCTGATATGAAGATCACACGAGGACGCTCACTCACCTGAGCTGGTGTTTTCTGACGTTTGCCTCGTATCGTCCGGCTCTTCGTCCTCCTCGTACTCGTCCTCCTCCCGGTCGGCGCCTGCCTTCGGGCTGTTTGCGTCGCCCTCCTGCAGCTCCCTCTGCCTCTTCCTCTCCTTTTCTTTATCCTCGTTCTGAAAAGAACATGAAAGCCGAGAGCCATTACCCCCCGAGCTCTCCGCTGGCATCAGACACGGATAATGAACCGCCACCTCTTCCCCCGGATACACACCTCGGAAATCACGTTTCCGATTGGCTGGAAGGGGCTCTGGATGTTCTCCTCGTCGGGCTCGTCTTCTTGGATCGGCCTGCCCTCTCGCTCCGCCGCCTCCCGCTCCTGCCGTTCTCTGCGGACAGATAAGACGCTCACCTTTCAGCACAATGACCTCCTCGGTGACAATTTAGAAAACGCTGATCCGAGCTCCGGTTCAATTAAAAAGTGCATTTGTACAACCTGGCATTTCAACCGCTGAGAGGGAGTTTGCTCTTTTCGATATTTTATGGCTCTTATGGTTGGAGATAAATAGATTTTTGCAGGCGGGGGAGTTTGCACACCTTTGGCATTTTAACATTTGCATTGGTCCCGAGCTTTATTTACTATTCTCTGGCCTCCCTCCTTTATCTTTCCCCGGACACATTTATCTTTCTACATGTATATTTTAACCTCTGTCATGTTTCTGGTTTGTTTTACTGTCCTTGTTTGTTCTTGCTATCTTTTCCTCTCCCTCGCGTCCTCACCTCTCCTCCCGGTTCCGCCGCACTCTCTCCGCTCTCTCCTTCTTGTCCTGCTCCTCGTAAGCGCGCTGCTCGGCCGTGTCCTTCTGCACGCGCTCAGTAATGGCCTCGTAGTCTTTGGCAATGTTGCTGAGGAGCCAGTTCAGGCCCTTCTTGATGGACTTGTCGACCTTCTTGCCGTAGCCTAGAACGGCCGAGCACGGCTCCTGGGGAAGGAACGTATATATAAATGAAAAGACAACACATCACTGGTGCCTCTCGGTGTAAAAACACAAACACATGATTCTAATGCATGAAACGTTGGATATAAGCCGCCGCCAGACTGCAGGCTGTTTGTGTGTTCGTCCAAATGCCCTTAATGTCATTCAACGGCGGCTCCACAACAGGTGCAGAAACACTTACGATCTGACAGAGACACTTGTTCTCATTAACAAGCTTCTCTAACGACAGATTCTCAATGATGTCTGCTTCGGCCAGAGCTCCCTCCTGGTCTTGTTTGTTGGCAAGCCTGAGAGTAGAGAGGGAAAAAAAAAAAGACATGAAGACAGGGTCTGCAGGATAATTAAATACAGAAAAATCTGAACTTTTGACTACACTCAGCTAGCTAGCGGTAGAACCAACTCATCCTGTCATTTGAAAGAAAGTAAAGCAGTTCCAAGAACAGGAGCCTAGTTAGAGTAGCTGGAAAATCTTATGGAAATGTGACTACGCTGATTGTGTTTTGTTGATTAGAGCACTCTGCATACCTGAAAATATACTTTAAACTCTCTGTTTTGCAGCTTGTGCTTTGATTACTGATTAAACAGATGCCTCCAGGAATCAACCAGCAGCGCATGCATTCAACAAATTGGACTCTAGGCTGGGCAATTTCTGCAATCTCTATCTGCTCGCCCTCGTATTCATGACAGAGCGCTCACACTAGCACGGGTTTGCCGGCGATCCGCGGGTGCTGGAGGACCTCCGCCATGGTCTCCCGCGTCTCCTGGATCCGCTGGACGTCGCTGGAGTCCACCACGAACACGACTCCGTGCGACTCGGAGTAGTAGTTTTTCCAGATGCCCCGGATTCTCTTCCCGCCGCCGAGGTCGAAGATGGTGACCTCGAACTTGCCCTGCTTGAGGTCGACCTTGGAGAAGCCCACCGTGGGAGCCACGTCCTGGGGATTCTCTGGAAACGACACGTCTTTGATGAAGACTTCTGCAGCACAACTTTAAATTTTAAAAATGCAATCAACACAATATAAAAGCAGCGAGACGTAACTGCAAGCAGTCAAACACGGTGTAAAATATATATGATAATAGGCACGAAACTGAGGAGTAAATGAGGCAGTTTATTCAGAGTAAACAAGACAGGGATCAACTTAACTTTTCTATTATTCACAACAAAAAAACAAGTGCACAAAAAAATGCATTATTAAGCGTCCTAACCTCCCTGGATTCCTCGCACGGTGGCTGTCTTTCCTGCATTATCCAGCCCAACCATCACCAGAGTCACTTTCCTGTAAGACAAGAAGGAGGAAAAGAAATCACAAATATGTACGCCGGCGTCACTGCTCCATCAGCCGGAGCCAACCTGCAATCTCTGAGCCGAGGACGCATTAGTTCTGGTGACGCATTTGGGGGCACAGATAAGCTAATTAATAATCTGAATGACCAACGCAATCAGAGATGTGCACAGCGGACTGAGTGAGTCAGCAGCAGTCACATGGTGAGCGAACACGAATTCGCCGAGGCAAAGATGCTGCGGAGTGCCTCCGGGCAATGCTGCTGGTTGTTTTAATGATATCTGGCTTATTGCAAAAGTGGCAAATTGGCCTCTGTGTACATTCGAAATCAGCAAAAATGATGAAATGATCTTGTTTTAACAGCCTCTGCAGAAAGATGCAGGTATTTGGCCGATGTTAATGTTCAATAAAACATCTCTGGAATGAAGACGGTCCAACAAAGAAACAGACATCTGTAGAGGTACGATGCAGACACACAGCTGGGCAGCAAGCTCTCTCATTAATCCAAATATCTTACCATGGTCCAGTCTTAAATTTAGCTGTATTTATAGTTATGGTGGTGGTAACTTTACTCTTTCTTCCCCTCGGGGTTTAATAAAGTAATTCTGTTCTAATGGGTGTATTAATGTTCAAGTGCGACATACGTTTCTGAACAAATAATTTGTCTTAACAGTGACATAATCATAGTCTGACCTCATTTTGCCACAACTACCCTCATCCGAATAAATAGAGGAAAAAATAAACACAAACTTGTGAATAAAATCCAACTGAAGAGACACTTTTCTGAACCTTTATGAGATAGATAAATAAATAGCAAGAGAACGAAAGCATTAAAAACCCTTTTCAGTTGACGCTTATGCCGTAATCACAACAGAAATCTTTAAACTACGTCTCCTGCCCAGAAAGAGAAATACACAAAATATAAAACAAGGGAGATCAGACACTAAAAGGAGATAACTGTCAGGACCTTCAATAACAAGACAAGCCCATAACACACAAACACACTCCGTGTTCATCTCCTCGCTGCATACTTAACTTTGACACTTGCGCCGAAAAGACATCAACCGCACTATCCATCTAACGGTCGTCTGGAGCCAGCCGGCCTTCATCGGGGCAGGCTCCTCGACGTGCAGGTGAGACACCGTCTACCCAGTGGCCGCTAAACCATAACCGCTTTGTCCACGCCGCTACAAAGCCCTCACAGCAACAGGTCAAATGGAAGAGACCCACTGAATCGACCTGACCGCGGGATTAGGTGAGGATTTCTGGCTAAATCCAAAGGATCAGATGCCTCACCAGCACCACGTGAGTTAAGCACCGTCAATTACATTTTGCTGGTCTTGCTGCTTCACGCTCACGAGGTTTACATGCTGTGATTCCAGTCACAAAGGGCCTAGTACAGAAGAGGCAGCTCATTATTGATCATCTCAGTAAATGTCAGATCATTAAAAATGTCCTCCAGAGTTTACCAACATACCAAACAGGTGTCCTAAGAATCCCAAACTCTTTCTGTTTTTGCTTGAAAATGACTTATCAAGTCATCATCTCAGCTCCAAAGCAGCCTGTCAATAGGCACAGATTTCTCTAAAATTCACCATCTCTGAAGAATATTGTTTAATGCACATATTATTTATTGCAAATCAAAGGCATCAGCATTAGCACATGGCAAAAAAGTGCAATTTCTGTGCTGTGCTGGTGCAAGAAAAATGAAATATGGACCACTTTTATGACTGAAGTCACACAAAGTTGCACATTAGAGGATGTTAAGCTGATCAATACTAGTGTTTAAATATGTGATCTCTCTCTGGTTGCAGCTCATTTGAAGTTTTGCTGCAAACACAACAACTAATAAATGTGAGGAGGAGGTGTGACCCAGCTGACAGCATCGCAGTGTTTGCAGAACAACTTTGCAAACAACTCACACACAAAAACAAAAATCTGTGAGGATGAAGGTTTCAGGACTTGGGCATCATTCTGAACTCACCTCGCAGGCTCTTGCCAGCGCTTTAGCCAGTTGCAGCAATTCGCCATCAGGCTAAACATCGCAGTCCGAGTCCAGGCGACTGCGATCAAGTGGTCATCCAGCCAGGAGCGTCACTCCGCTATCCAGCCTTGTTTAGCCAGCTGATCGATTCTTGACCTTAATTAGCTACATGGCGAGCTAACTCATACTTATTCTAATGCTAGCAGCTTTTAAAATTCTCCCCCTAACCGTGATTCAAGTGGCTGTTGCCATGTGATATCGATAAAACGTGAAGCTGAGTAACACAGATTTCCCCAAATACAAAATCCCGTTATCTAAGGTTAGCTAATGCTACCGTAGCTAGCGTTAACGGTATCTTGTTAGCTCGTTTATTTATAGCCTCAGCACATGAGCGAGTCCGTTACCTCATAAGAAACTGCTGCACTCGCCGGTAAAAGGCGTCGCTGTGCCGTCTAACGCAGCCATATTAGGTATTTTACTCACGAATCGCTTGGCTACTTAGCGTTAGCTGATTTGTAGCCTGTCTGCTTTTGTTTACGCCGTCTTTTCTGCTGCTAGGCTGCGAACGTGATGGCGTCATCACGTCCGACGTAACGTGCGTCGCTCCGCGTTGAGGTGAAGAGTTTGTTGAAAGAGCGACTCCTGTGGGCGAACAGATAACCTGCAGCTGGAATATGAACTGATCGAAGACAATTATTGATTGATTTGTTGTCTGTGAGACGAGAACACAAATAACTTTATTTAGAATTTGTACATACGTGTTTACAGATGGCCTGGAAATGACATTTAAGTCATTTCCAAGTAAATATTCTGAAATAACTCTCTGATAGTGAACAACGTTTGCCTTTATTTTTAATTTATTTTATTTTTTTTAAATGAATCTGTTTTTGCTGCATCCCCACCCTGTGCTGATATGACTTGATTTTAAATGTAAATAAGTAACTTCAACATACAAACCAGAGGGGATAAGTGCATACACCAAGTTAAAGGCATGCAGGTTTGATTGACTTGTTTATGATAAAGGATGTAAAACCCACTAATGTTTTACATCCCGTCCCCTTCAGCTCTCTTAAGAGAAAGAAAGAGAAGGACTGTAGTTGGTGCCATATTCACCACCAAAAAACAACATATAAATAGCAGAGAAATTCAAAAGAACAACCTTGTAATAATACAAACTGTAACTGAAACTGTGAAGAATAACAGAAAATTAATTGAACAGTTTGTCACTGTCATGAAATGAAGCAGGAGTTTGCTTTTTTTTTTTTCATAATATCCTTTATAATATCTTGTTATCTCTCCCTAATCGGCTTTTGTAGATGATCTATTGTATAGTTCTAGCTCAGTTTATTAGGTTTTTGATCATCCACGATGCCTGTAGCTTTTAATTACAACATTTCTCTTTCATAACACTAAAGTGAAATGAGCTCAGAGAGAGAGAGAGAGACGAAAAGACAGACCGAGCCACAAGCGCATTTTTAAGGACAAATCCCTTCTTATTGCTTCACCTGACTTACTGATTTCCTTCCTTTCTGCCAAACCAGAAAGTTTATTAGATTTTTCCAGCCTGCCCGGCCGGAGTCGGCGGGCGTTTTTGCTGCTGGACTGAATGTCAAGTGTCTGCAAAGATGGATGTTAATTCCTGAGTTATTGTTCCGGCTCATCTCAGCAAACACTCACAGGTGACTGTGCAGCCGGGATGTCGGATGAAGAATGTTTGTGTTTAAGAGAGGAAACAGTGATCTCCTCCTGAGACAACTTCACCGACGTTTTTATGAGATCACTCTGCCACAGTCATGATCTTTATTTGTTTACTGGGATCTGTTGTAGGTAGACTGTAAACAAGGGGTTTTAATAGGCTGTGGGACGGAATCACAAGCAGCAATGGACAGTTAAAGACACGTGATATATGATCATTATATTTAGACTGGTAAGAAGTACCCATTATTTGTATGGGGGAGACTTTCTCATATGTGTTATGAATGAAAATTCAGCTATATGTATCAAAAACAAGAGTTATGACTATATTTAAGATATCTTGGATACAAATGATCCATAGCCTAAATTAATTAATGTATGTATAGTTATTATTGTTGTTGTTATGTTATTAAATAAAGTAAATAGATTAATAAAATGAAAATCTGGAGAAGAATTTTGGATTGATTGATTATCTTTAATTAAAATTTGTTTTTAAAACCTGTTGTCTGCGGTTGTATTTAGTAAGGGTTTAGTAAGGACTCTCCAAATAAATAAAATTTCGATTTTCAGCCAGCATTTTTTTCTTATTAAAAGAAAGAAAGAAAGAAAGAAAGAAAGAAAGAAAGAAAGAAAGAAAGAAAGAAAGAAAGAATTTATTAATGTTTTTTAAATAACAAAAAGGCACTATCATTGCTAGACACATGTACAAGTAAAATACTGTTACAAAGAGGGGGAAACACCCTAAAACTAACAAATAATAATTAGCAAAATGTATTTTTCTTAAAAACTACATTATAATCGCTTTAAGGGACTGAAATCAAGACACAACTCAAATAATTCCCGTAAAACAATCTTTTTTTTCTGCTTATTTATTTAATCATATATTTATTTATTCTTCAGCTGGACTTCACATAATGTACTCACGCGATTAAGTGAGGTTTTATTGGGTTATACAACTTTTTTAAACCTTTTTTTTTTTTTTTTACATCATCCGCTACTTCCGGGTTCGGCTTACCTCTTTCTGCGCATGCGTCAGATGTCCCCGGCTGCAGCGGTCGGGAGGATTCTGTGCTCCTCAGTCAAGGTAAGACTCCTGCGCTGTAAATAGGTTAGTAACGCGTTAATAAAAGCGACTTATTAACGAACAGTTTATTGATAACGATTCAGGCTCGAGGACTTGCACAGAAGTTCGTTCGCATTTGTGGTGTTCCTGTCGGTTTAATTCAGACACATGATCAGACGGGTTCAGTGGCTGCAGAGCAAGTTTTGAAGCCTGGTTCTGCTGCCTTGTTACTGTAATAACTGTAAAAAACAAATGTCTCTCCTGAACGATCTGCTGCAATGAGCTGAAGACAGCGTTTGTCACTGATAGTCCCTCACAATGAATGAATTACTGAGCTGATGTTATTTTGCAATAACAAAGTTCAAAGAGCACTGATATGTGATTATTGAGATCTCTGTGGGAGGTGCTGATAACATGAAACACACCCACACAGTGTGCATGCCAACCCTGGGAATCAAAACCACATATAAGGGTGAAAAACATGTCTGCTGTAGTTTGCCACAGATGCAATGAGGTGGAATTTGCAGAAGCCCCTCAGTGTCTGACTTGGATCCACATTTCTGCTTTTAGCTTCTTTATCATTTTATAAGTTTGTCTTTTTTATTGTATACCTATAAATCTGTTACAGGGTGTGTCTGCACCAGTCAGTCTGAAAGCACTTTAATTTTGCACACCTATGGCCAAAGTCTCCGGAAATATCCTGGCTGAAAAACAAGGTGATGATCAGATTCAAATAAAAACAGTATGAGCCAAATTGCAGCTCATGATATTAATCCTCAAAACCTGCAGCCGGGTTTAAAAAGGCCTCAAACAAATCACCAAAACTGCACTGTTTAGCAGAGCCGGAAAATGTAAAAGCAGAAGTTGGATGTCAAACTTTCCGACGGTCCTTGAAGTAATCATACATCAGAAGAAGAAGACGTTTATGGTCCAAAACACAACAAAATTTCGTTTGGTGTTGTCTCTGTAGCAGCTGATGTGGTCACAGTTCTAAGAAAGAAAGAAAAAAATGTTAAAAGATGATATAAATCAGAAAATAAAACAAGTTTAAAAATGAGGGGAAAAAATGAAGGAAATTAACAAAACTAAAAATCACTTTATACTTTTAAATTTGCCAAAAATAAATCTTTTTCATTATCCAGATTCTAAAACAAAAAAACAAAAAATTCTGCATCTCGTGCCGCAACCGTGAAGCCATTATTGACTCAGCTGTGACGAACAGTCAAGTGTCAAAAATTCATGGATGTTCACCTGAACTGTGTTTGCACAGAGCTGAAAGGAATTAAATTGAAAATCTAAGTAGTAGAATGTCTGGCAGCATTTTTCCAGTATTGATAAGTCATGTGGGCACTTGAATAATGCTGTACATGTTGTTTCTGGGACTTTTAATTAGAAAAATAAATGAAAACTGGAAATATTTTTGAGTTCTTGCTGCTTCTTCATGCTTGTTCGGTCTCCTTCGAGGACTTTATTCTGAAAAATGACCCCAAAAAATGGATGGTTTAGTTAAAGCTGCCAAATACTCATCCTCTTTTCTTTATTCCACAGGTGCGTTCGCCGTCCTCCATCCTCATGACTCACGTCTTCGTCTACGGCACCCTGAAGAAGGGCCAGCCCAACTACTTCCGCATGCTGGACGCCGCCAACGGGAAGTCCGAGTTCCTTGGCTCGGCACTCACCGTCGAGAAGTTCCCACTGGTGATCGCCGGCAAGTACGGCATCCCCTTCATGCTCAACATCCCCGGCCAGGGCCACAGGGTCCACGGAGAGATCTACAGAGTGGACGACCAGATGCTGAAGTTCCTGGACGACTTCGAGAGCGTCCCCACCATGTACCAGCGGGTCGGGGTCAAGCTGGAGGTCAAGGAGTGGGTGGGAGGTGGGGAGGCGGCGCCGTCGCCGGGGAGCATCACCGAGGCGTTCGTGTACAACACGACGACCTATCAGCCGGACTGGCCCTCGCTGCGGTGCTTCGACAGCTACGACGCGTTCGGAGATCACGGCTTCAAGTACACGTACAGAGAGGAGCGAGACTGACGGAGCTCGCTGGGCTGGAGCTGTGATCTACCTCCCAACAACGTTTACGGTGGAGCATACATCAAAACAATCCTGGTTCCTGTAGCATTCCTCAGCTCCAGTACAGATCAGGGTGCAGATTGTCTTTATTTTTGACTTAAGATCAACAAGGAAGTATTAAAATGAATCTAGAGGGCTTTTTTTTATTCGTGTAAATCCCACAAATATGAGCTGTATCGTTAAAAATGTCCCTGTTTACTAGTTTATGCTCATCTCAGAGGCATATATCTGTGATTACACCACCAAAATGTCCCCGTTTACTAGTTTATGCTCATGTTAGAGGCATATATCTGTGATTACCCCACCAAAATGTTCCTGTTTACTAGTTTATGCTCATGTCAGAGGCATATATCTGTGTTTACACCACCAAAATGTCCCCGTTTACTAGTTTATGCTAATCTCAGAGGCATATATCCGTGTTTACACCACCTGTGTGACAGCTAAACATTAATAAGTGGAGTTTTGGTGCTTGCTGTAGTGTTTAAATGAAGGAGGAGGCTTTTATTTTGAAAAACGGCTCCAATTCTACTCCGTGATGCAATAACCCTCCCACTGTTTTTTTATTTTAAATCTCAAAATATGAATTATGACAATCACTTCATGCACACATGAAGACAGACATAAAGGGTTTTCCTTCTGTTTCTGGTTGAATTTTGTCATTGAATCGTCTGCAGCCTTGAACTGAGGTTGTTTCTGTTGTTCATACCTGTGAGTGTGACTTTTTGCTGGACACAAATGGAGAGACGTGGCTCTGAGCAAAGCATTCCAGATGAATAAAACAAAATAAAAGCTTGTTGAAGTTTCTTTTGGAGGTTTTTCAAAGTTATTTTACCAAATTCAAGCTTCACCGTCAAACATATTCAGATTTTTCCTCAATAGTTTTTAAAAAAAAAAAAATCATCTTTCTTAGGAGCTTGTGTTCAACAAAATCTAAACCTTAATATTTGTATTCCTTCAGATTTAAGCTTGTCAAATAAATTTACCTAATAAATAATATCATGTGGTCTTAATGCTAATATTTTAGTTAGGTACATTTGTGTTTTGTATAACATTGTACAGTTGAATCTGTTTAAATTATTAAATCTACATAATAAATATTATTGTCGGGCTTAAACAATAATATTTAAATTACTCAGGACCCATTTATGTCAAAAACATTGTCGACCATTTTATGTAAATGAGGTAAATATACATAATAAATATTATTGTCGGATGGTAACGTTAACATTTCATTAACCAGTTAAATCTGTACTTTCTTTAATAGTGTAGAGTCTTAATGTTAATATTTAAATTAGACACATTTCCTAAATAAAAAAAATCTACATTGAAGTTCTCAGGTAAATTCATATTTTAAATATTGTCTGGTCCTAATAATACTTTATTCGTAATTAGTATTTTATGTAATATTCCCCATACAATTTATTTTTATATATACAATTTGTATAATGAAAAAATATGGTAGAGTGCTTAATATTTAATTTAACTTTAATATTTAGATGATTCAGGTTAATTTGGGTAATAAATAATGTAGGGTCTTAATTGTAAAGTTTGTATTTTATTTAATTTTGTAGGATCATGACCTTTACGTTCAAACTAACCAGGTAAACTTGTATTTTGTAGTTTAAAAAATAGCAAAGTGAACTTTTAATTTTTAAACTTGTGAGTTAAATTCATAGCAATGATTCTATTTCTGTTTTTTGGCTCAACAGATGTACATATGGCCGTTAATTTAACAAAAAATATTTAAGCCTTTTGGAAGTTTTCCCCTGTTATTGCTTTTCAACACTGAATCATGGTCAATTAAACTAAATGAACTCATTTTTCCTTTACAAGAATTTACCCCAAAAAGATTTCTACACAGTAATGTCCATTAATTCAAACTATAAAATCTAAAACCAGTGGCCATGATTCACGGTTAAAAAGCAAGTAGACATAAAAAACAAAAAACAACACCATCAAATAAACAGACACATTTCTAAATAACGTCTTTTTCTTTTTTTTTCATATGAACACATCTTTGTCTCATCTTTATTCAAAAGAGTAAAATCCAGAAAGCTGGAGGAATACTGAAGAGAAGGTAAGTTGGCGATCGACCAGCAAAAAATCTCAGTTGGCTTTGGAAGCAGGTTCAAAATCAGCTCTGTCCTCTTAAACAAGACGAGAAGAAAAACAACAACGACAAAGAAAAAATGATTGAGAAGAACATTTCACAGTGTATCAAAGGACTGTACAAAACAAAGTCGCCTTACAAAAAAGGAAAAGATGATTTCTGTGTTCAAATCATCAAACTATGTCGAGACTGTGACACCGATGGTTTTAAAAAAGTGTGTCCACATGCACACATATAGAAAGGTGAGCAACATGGTGCACAAACTCTTTATGATAAAAATAAAAGCCCTCCGTATATGAAGCTGTGGTCCGGTGGGCGTGTGCATGTGAACGACACTTGTGAAGGAAATAAAACACCGAGATTCTGTGCTTCCAGTTTGGCACCGAACACAATAATGACGCGACGGCTCGGCTCTAATCTAGTGGTGTGGAAAGTGTGTAATCAGAGGGAGGGTGGAGGAGGAGGCGGAGTGGGAGGACCTCTGAGTGGAACGAGTGCGAATCAGCCAGTCAGAGGTATTAATTAGTGTCTGCCGGAGCGGCCGCCGCTTCCTGTGGGCGCAGCGAGTCTTTTCGTCAGTAAAGGTCTTTCCTGGTGGCGGGCAGCGAGCGGCTGGCGGAGCAGGTGGCGCTTCGGATCACCTCCATCCACCTGGAAATGAGAAAAAGAGTTCAGTCAGACAATTGACAGTGTTAAAGATCATGTTGGATGTTAGCTGTAGTGTGTGGCAGCGACAGCCAAGCGAGGTCCTCTCTTGGTAGAAGGCAGCTCCTCTTCTGCTTTTCACTAACTCGTTTCCTGTTGCAGCCTTCTCTTTTCAGCTTTCTTCCATGTCTGATCACTTCCGACCTGGTTTTGTTTTTACCTTTCGCGAGAACATCAAGTACGTCATCGGCGGTGTAACAAACAGAGGGAAACCCACCCCCACCGACCGACTGATCAAGAACCTGCCCTGTGTGGTCCATCAGGACGACTTCTCCAAGTCCCAAGACCAGATGGAATTTGGTGAAGATGGCTTTAAGCAGTACGATGTCACTACTGCTCTGGACATGGATGCCATGATGGGTACGATCTACGCATGGCTGGAGAACCCGGTGCACACCCTGGACACCGAGATCGCCCCGAAGTCCGACCACAAGGAGGAGGAGACTCACATCCTTACTGTGGAGGGCTTCCTGCTTTACCCCTACAGACCTTGATCAACATGCTGAACCACTTCATTTCCATCCCATATGAAGAATGCAAAAAGAGGAGGTGCGATAGGAACTACACGGTGCCAGAACCTCCCGACCAAGAACTTCTGCTACATGAGAACATAAGACTAGCTGGAGTACAGATGCTTCTATTACTGGGTTTTATGGCTGCAACTGAACATCTTGTGGACGTCTGAAACAGGAGATCTGATTCAAAATGTTTACAAGCCCATGCCGCGATACAAGCAGCATCCTCGTCGTCCCATCAACATCTCATTACTCGCAGAGCTCATGCACACAACCATCCTTGTTTTCTTGAAATAACAGAAAGCAAAGATGCTCCTCGTGATCCAGATTTTAGCTCTAGAGGAACAGCCGCTGCTGTTGTCATGCAAAAGGCCATCGATGGAGTCAAACCCAACTAAAACTCATTCAGCAGCAGCAGCTGAAGACGCGTTTTTAAGTGCACAAGTCATAAAGTTGCACAAAAATGTCGTGCTGGTGCAGATTTTGGACAGAAACTTATGCAACGCACCGACTATACAGAGTGTAAATAAGAGCAGAACATCCAGGACGGCTGGTGGACTTTCAAGGACGCGGATTGGTTTAAATTCACACAAAAGCCCTGCAAAGTCAGGGATCTCTCACACCACGGCCACGACCTTGTCAAACTCCTGCCAGGGCAAACAGACTAAAGAACAGCTTCTACCCAAGAGTCATTGCCCTGAACGCCACAAATTCCCATTAATCATTCTTCCTGAACGCAATATCCCAGTTGTTTTTATATATTTTTGTATTTTATATTCAGATTGTTTTATCCTACATATGTTTTACTTAATAACATGCACTGAAAAAAACTAAATCAAATATGAGATGCTCAGGTGTGAACTTGTGCAACGGCCCCTTGGTGAAAACCCACCGTTCAAAGGTGTACTCGCTTTCTGATCTGAAATAGTAGACGTGGGATTTGAAGTGGAGCTTGAAGACGTAATCCTTGTGGATGTTTTCCGACTCCGATGGGACGGTGACGGAGTAGCCGAGCAGAGGGAGGCTGGCCAGAGGGTAGTCGTCCTGCGGAAAGACGAGCCGGAAAACTTACAAAACTGAACCGAACAGACATCAAAGCGCATTTGAACAGAGACCATCCCTTCATCTCTGACCTGGTGCGACTTGTAGAAGAAGAGGCTGAAGTTGGTGAACACCACCCAGAGCTTCTGCCAGCCGTTGCTGTTCTTGAACTTTCTCAGCAGGTTTCCCGAGAGCTGGTTCTGCAAACACAAAGAGGAGATTGGTTCGATAAAAGACGCCTGACTAGGATGTTAAAACGGAGGGAAAAGGATGGGAAACATACATCTGTCAGGTTCCATCTCCAGTTACGCTCTTTAGTTAGAAGGAAAGAGCAAAAAATGACTAAGATAGTGTGTGATTCTTTGACAAAACTGTTTTTTTTTAGAGGGTTCATGATACCCCTTGTATGGATCAATACATTCTGGGGAGTTGCAGTACCTCTCCACTCCAGCAGGTGTCACTAAAGGACAGGCTGTTTGTTGGAGAGAGAGTCGGGGCCCCCTGAAGTCTGCTGAGGGGCCTCATCAACTCACTACTGGCCTCTAGCACCGTCAGAGTGGACGGAAAAAAACCAAACGGAGGCAAAGATGGAGGAGACAGACGGGGCGAAAGACAAAAGCAGAGACGTGAGAAGGAAGGACGGCGGGACGGACAACAACAACAACAATAACAACAGACCAGAGAGCAACAAACAACAGGAGTGTGATGTTTGTGGAGAGGAGGCAGTGAGGAAACACAGTGTGGTACCTCCACGGCAACGCTGAAGTCCACCATGGAGACGCTGGTGTTGCGGTGCCAGCACACGTGCACGGTGGTGTTGCCGCGGTGACCCTGGCGCTCTAGAGACGAACGCGAGCCGCAGAGCTCCTCCTCCGACTCCTGCTCGCCGCCGCCGTCCTCAGAGAGCTCTGGGGAGGATAGACAGGATGGTTAGAGGGAGGAAGTGCAATATAACTCCATACAGTGATTCATTTGTCATGACTCAGCCTTCAGATCATGTCTACATGAGGAAAACTTTGCTCTTATGCAACTGATTGTAATCATACATACATCAACATTCACCTTCTAGGAGAAAGATTATTTATGTGCACGGCTAGGAGTTGGTATTTGAACATTTATTTTGTTTTCATGTCGAAAATGTGTTTAATGCCCATGTAATGGTGCAGAAAATTAGTTTCTTTCGTCGTTTTCAATGGGAACATGGAACATTATTGGTTTTTGGGGTTCTTTTTGATGACCTAAAGATGGCCAAAAACAAAACTAAGAGCAAGATTTCTTTTTCTAGATCAACCACAGGCCTGTAGTACTGCTTTACCATTTTGGTACAGTTGTTTTTGTACAAGTTAAACATGCATTTTAACCTTTTGCATGTTTGTTTTGGCAACCGCCACGTTTTTACTCGCCATGATGGATGGATGGATGGATAGATGGAGTCCCCTGGAAATAAAATGGTGACTCTACAGACTACAGATCTTCTACTGCTTAGATTTTTCTCTGTTCGTTTCTACACTGTCTGCAGTTCAGCTGAAAACTCTCAGAATTTTTGCCAAGCAACTGTTGAGTCACTATTCACTTCACGGTGACCCCACAGAAGTTTCATTTTTTATCATCTAGCTACAGTAAAGGGTTTATTTCAAAGCCATTCTGGTGATTTTAAGCTTAGCGTAATTCCTCCCCAACAAACCTACGAGTAGTTCAAGGATCTTGCTTGGGTTTAGAGGGACAAATATAATGATGCAACAGAAGATTTTCTCAGGGTTTGTGTTGGTGGAAAATATCTTATTGGGTCTCAAGGTGCAATATGCAAGATGTTGAGCAGAAATGTAAGATTAATATCTGATATGTAAAGATGTAGTGAAGACTTCCTCTGTGTGTGTGTGTTGTAATGTGAGTTTCTTTGTTGTTGTGCCGGTCGGTTCAGTTGTGTTTGCATGTTGGTACACGTTAGTCCCTTCCTTTGTTGGGCCGACATCAAAACAGCAGGTGAATTATATCTATGCTATTTATCTAATAAACTCTTTAAATATCAGAGAGTTTTTTCTGCCGTTCTGAGGCTCTTGTTTGTGTCGCGTTTGTTGTGCCCCGGTTCGTGGAAACAGAAACACATGGAACGGAGCAAACAGCGAGACAACACTGGAAGGAAGGAAAGGGTTACTTCTTTTTGCTCTCGTGGTTGTAAATGAAACTGGAAGGAGTGGGGAGGTGTGGCCAACACGCTCATCACAGAACCTGTATTCAGCAGCAGTGTTTTGCATTCTTGTGGTTTTGGCGCTAAAATCGTAACAACAGCAAAATAAGGAATACGAGTTAGCTCTGTGGTTTGCTACGTCCTAACAAACACTTAGGATGGTAATATTTCTCTGTAGTCTTGAATCTTTACGCTCCAAATTTGCAGCAAAAAAAGCTAAAGCTGTACTTCCATCAGCCTGAAGTGACAAACAGGTAAAAGCACAACTGCGATTGTTGCAAAGCTGGTTGTCTCATAAAGAAACGAGCTCTGCAGCATCCTGAGGACGGTTTTATTGCACATGACAGGTTGCAGGTGGGGGGGAACATCTTTGGCATGCTTTGTTTTTTTGGTCCGGCTGCACTATTTAGTCACAAAATCCCAGCATGTAAAGCACACATAGAAAGCTCAGAACAAAGAGCGGAGCCGAAACTCTTTTGTTGTCACTTGTAAGGAAATACTCTTTAAGCGTTCCAGTTAAAAAATGTGAGAGATAATGAAGACGTCAAAGCGAAAGGTCACCGGGTGGAGGCCTCATTGAACGGCGTGACAGGTATTTAAGATGAAGAATGAGCGGAAAGGCGACGAGAAAAGAGAGGCGACAGCTGGGGGACCGGACCTACATATATCAGGTGACATTAAAAATATGATGAAAGACCAGCTGGGACAGTCCAGAGAGATTATTCATGAGCTGCTGAAAGCCGCCGCCTGAAGAAGAGAGGGAATGAAAGGCGTCGTCCACGTCTGCGGGAGGAATATAGGTATGCGCTGGTCTGTTTCCCTTAGAGAAAGACCTTATTGATGGAATATCAGGGAAGACAGAACAGAAGGTCCCAGCTGAAGCCATTGTGTCACGTGAACCCTAAAGCTGCCACAGGGTTTCTATTTCAAAAGCCAGAAAGTGTAAAGACTGGAATAATAAATGGATTTTAAACTTTCAGACAGTCTTTGAACTCATCGTGTGATGTGTTGTTTCACCAGGAACCAAATCTCGCTTTAAAAATGGTGACATTTGATTTAAAAATTGGAAACATTCCAGATTTGTGGAGATGAACGAACGTCACAGGAACATGTTTACGATTTAACGTTCCAATTGTACCCGCTGCTCTTATTCTGGAGGGTACAGGAAGTCGTAGGAGGGATTTCGCAATTTTAAAAAAAGGTGTCAATGTCGGTCATTTCGAGACGAATTGTTAGATGAGTAGGAAAACATTCAAATTAATACAGTGAAATATCAATAAGTATGGAAACAAATCAGAGAGATTGAGGTAAAACATCTTTCTTGACTTATTGTGCAGAGTGGTGTGAAAAAAAGAGTTTGTAGAGGTTGTACAAATGCAAATAGGAAAATATTTATAGTATGTAGGGCAGTCTTTTTCTTGTGTACATGTTGATTCCAGGTTTGGAAATCTTGCAGAATAAATAATCCCAAAAAATCCTTTTTGACCTCTTATGTGTGGACATTACCTGACCACAGTAGTTAATTATTTTATTCTATTTTATTCTATTTTATTTAGCATTATTATTATTATTTTACTACTGTTATTTTATTTATTTATTTATTTATTTTTAGATATTTTTAAAAATATATTTTTATTTTCTTTATATATTTTTTTTATTTATTTTAATTTTAAAAATGCATATCAAACAAGAGCTCGGGTCTTGAGAGGTTAAAGAAATACTTTCTTTTTATGACATTCTAACTGTGTCGTACTGTACCGAGGACGTTTCTGAGTTCTTTCTACTTGTAGTCCTGGTTGTTCTGTTTCCACAGAGGTGCAGGACTTTATATTGCCGGAAAAAATGAGCCAACAGTGAGTAAAAATGCAGGAACAAATAGAGCAAATGACACCCAGAAACTGGGTTCAGAGGGGTTAAACTCAGGGATTTTGTCGAGAGAAGCAAATGTGTCAACAGTGCTCATGACTTAACTAAAGATTTTTAGGACCTTTGTTTTTTTGCAGGGGAAAAGGAGAAGAAAGAGAGCCGGGAATAGAAGCCCAGCATCCAGGCTAACCCTCATTTATTTTTCTGGTTCACAGAGTCCTGCCAACACTTGGTGATGAAGCGATGTTTGGGTTTATTGGTTCAAACGGAGGGAAAGTTGAAGCGAGCAAAGCAAGGAAACAGAGGAAACACTCACTGTTGTCGGAGAGGCTGGTGGAGAGCAGATCGGTGGAGGGGCTGCTGCTCTGCTCCGCCAGGTCAATGGCCATCCTGATGTCCTCCACCCAGCGCTCCATCTCTGACGCACAGCTGGAAACGAGAAAGAGACGACAGATCATATCAGCTGAAACTGACGAGCCAAACATCCGCTCAAAGAAACAGGGAAAGTGAACCGAGGTAGGACAAATTTTGCATCATAGTGTTTCACCCTGTTCGACTGCACACAAGATAAAGTGTTTTACTTTTTAAAAAACTTTTTAAACCTCCTGTTTCCAAACTGCTGTTCACTGTGATCCAGCAACGTGTCTTTTGGCTGATGAAGGAAGTTGGATCGCAAAAAACAAAGCTGAAACATGGAGGTAATACCGGGCACCAAACCTTAAAACGAGCCTCTAAAGCAACATAATTGGTCCGTCTGCTTTTGACATTTTATAATATATTTTACTTATTTTTTTCCACCTTATTTCTCTTTCGTTTGTTGGAGAACTCTACGAGAGCAACTCCAGCTAACCCCCAGTGAAGTCAATCAGCACAGCCCGTATAATGGAGTCTGCATTATGCAATCCACACTGAATGGAAAATAGGTCGCCCAGTCCGACTTAATTCGAGGACAATCAAACTGTGGCAGAGGTCCTGCGGAGAAGAAATCCATTTTTAATGAGGCTGACCCGCATTAATCTTTAAAACTGTTATTCTTAGAAGCACCCGGCTTCCATTCATAATGCAGCTTTCTTTGTTCCCCACACATTTTTTAAGGATTCAAGGCCTTTATTTTCCCCCTTTTACGGATGAAATCTGATGTGTGTTAATACGTACCTGGCCGCCACCACCACCGACTGGCGCTGGCCGAACAAGGTGAACGAATGAGGGACCCCCCACTCCTCCTCGCTTTCTCTGATCTGCAGGAAAAGGCGCATAATTAGCAAAATTAGCAAATCAGTACCTATAAACCCCAGCTTTCCAGAGTTTGAGTCAGTGTAAAACGCTGCTAGCTAAATTTTTGTGCTGGTTAATCTTGCAAAAACAAAAGGTATGATGATGCACCGTCATGCCGTAGAGGGGCAGCTGTCCGTGGACCTTGAACTGGTTGGACGGGGTCATCCCTCGACTGGTGTACACCAAGGAGTCGCTGAACTGGAAGAAGAAGTAACACACAACAAAAAAAGACAGTGAGGGATGTGATTTAGAAATCCTCGGCGCTTTGTTTTCTTCGCAGACGAGAAGGTCCTACCAGGAAGAACATCCTCTGCTGAAGGCCCTTCCCCGACAGCTTGCTGAGGCAGCCGAGCCGGATGAACTCCTGCCAGACAGAAAACAGTTCAAATGAAGTCAAAACAACACAGAGAAAGAAAGCTGGACTCAAGGATGAGTCAAAGGAGAGTCTGACCCTTCCAGGAGTGACTAAGTTGTCGATGCCGGTCAGATCTTTCTTCAGCTCCAACAGCTTCTGGAAGTTCTCCATCTTCATCATGGTGCCCTGAAGCTGCAGCACCATCTCGGAGATGTCGGCCAGGGCGGCTGGAGGAAGATGAAAAGGACGGTTTTCATAAATGAAAATCTAAATATACACGAAGGAAGGTGGACACGGGGCCACAAGCGCACCTCTGCTGTCCCTGAAGTCGTCGTGGGTGGGCGGGTAGTGCTTGCAGAGCCTCTCCAGGATGAGCTTGTAGTGCAGCAGGCGGTGGAGCGGCCTCAGGAGGAAGATGTTGAGGGGAAGGTAGCAAACCCGCTGCTGCTCGAAGTCCCGGCACAGAGACTCCACCTTCCGACTGGACCTGAGGACGGACAGGCCAAGGGTTCGTTTATTTCTGACTGAACTGCTGAGATTTGTTCCTCATGCATAAGTTATTTGTACATGTGACATATATCTGTTGAAACCCTGATGTAGTAGATTTTGCTTAATTGGTTGTATTTTCACTCCGTCTCTTCTTCACATCACGTTTCAGTTTTAACTTTCTGAATCCCTAACCCACGAGCAGGTTTGAAAGGCATGTTGTCTTTTAAAAAAAAAGAAAAAAATGCCTAAAAATTGCAGCATTTGTCATCGTCAGAAACTGTAAAAACAGAAAAAATGCTTTGATTTTCAACTTTCCGACTGTCCTCGAACTACTTGTCTGTGATGAGTCGTTCCGTAAAGGAAATTAACTAAATGTGAGCTTAAAATCGCTAGATTTAAAATCAAAATCACTTTCTTCTTCTTAATTTTTAAAAAATTCTTTATTTATTAGTTTCACCAACTTTTAGTGATCGGTACAATTTATGTGCCAACATGTGCGCAATATTATCATTATCAAAAAACTATTTCCCATCAAAAGAAATAAATAAAATAAATTTAAAAAAATAAAATAAGAAGAAAAAGAAAGAAAAAACTAAACAAAACATAAATTAATAAGTAAATACATTTTTAAAAATTAAAAATAAAGAAAAACGGGAGGTCTATCAGAACATTAGGGGGCGACCATTACATTCTCTTTGACTTTGCAAACACAAAATTAAATTTAATTTTTATGTGCGCAACCCATTTGTCCAACATGCTCCAAACCTGTCTTGTTTTTGATTCATAAAAAAAATCACTTTATTCTACACGTTTGCCAACAAATAACCAAATTATTTAACTTGATTCTGTACAGAAACACAAAATATTCTGAGCTCCTTGGTGCAACTGGGAATTTATTAGCAACTCTGGGACTGTTTGGTGCAACTCAGTATAGAAAGTACTTTAAAAATGTACATAGTTAAATAGCAAGGACCTTTTTTTCAGTATTGCCTGGAGGAATTTTTAAAAAAAAGTTGCACACATTGATTCCAATTTTCTTCTATTTTTGTGCACTAAATATTACAATAAATGTACTTTTTGTTTGTCTAGTTTTTATGATTTGCAGCATTACAGCTTCTCTGTTTCTAGCTGTCATTGTGTTGTTTCCAAAGAGGTGCAAGACTTTAAACTGCAATAAAAAAAACAGTGAATAAAACCAATTTCTTGCTGTTTTCACCATTTTGCCACCTACCTACAGGCCCGCTCCAGCTCCACCAGACACTCTGAATGTTTCTGCAGATGAACCGTCAACTGCTGCAGATGCAAAACGAGACACAGATGAAACCCAGATGAGCAACGGAGAGCGACTTCCTTTCATTATTTTAATCCTGCAAATGAAGGATTTCAGTGCAAAAGAAAAGAAAAAGGAGCAGATTTACCCTCAGGCCCTGAATGTTCTTCAGTAGAACATCACCGATTCGCTGATAGTCTCCTTTAATGTGGGCGTTGGACCGGCCCTCCCTGAGAAAAAAAGAGAATTTTTATTTAAGTGCAGTGACGTTAATCCACCAGTAGGTGTCAGAGCAGAGCCGAGGTTATCACACCAGATTGGAAACTCTTCATTCAGTTCCCACAATCCCATTCATCTCGCGTCCTCCTGCCTGTCAGCGAGGAGATTCCCACTGGGGGAGGGAAGACGTTGAGTCGCGCACATGAGTTAATTTAGATTTCTGGTCTGATTTGTGGTCCAAAAGTTCCAAAAAAGTTGTGCTGTTTTCCATCAACAGAACCGTTTATGTCAGGGTTGATCTGCAGAGTTCAAACCAGTTCACTGGCGCTCTGGTTCACCTCCGAATCTGGGCCACCGAACATGTTTTTTTTGTCTGCATTAGCATCAACAAAACTAATCTGCACTTCCTGTTCTGTGCTCGTTTGTGTTTACATCCCGCTTAATTGCGTCGATCACGTAAAAGCCGACCGTTTAATCTCACTGTTTCCATTTTTCTAAACTTTTCCTCCCATCTGGATTAAGTTCATTTGGATGGTTTGTTTTCCAGTTTTTTTTTTTTTCTCTCCGAAAAAAAGAACAGAAGGTTCATTTGACCCGCAGCTTTTTTTTATTTTTTATTTTTGCCAAATACCCACATCTGCGAGGCTTTTCTGTTTCCATTAAAGCTTTTCTGTGAATGGGAACAGGCCGACACTGACCACTGAGCCAGACGCTGCTCCGTCTCTTTGAGGAACCCCTGGTGGAAGCTGTAGACCGGGTCGTAGCTGGCCGAGATCAGGCTCTTTACGGACTCTGGAAACGCCTCGTCTTTGCCCACGGCGCTCGGGAAGGACTGGAGGATTGACAATGAGGCAAAAGAAGGACACTGATTAGAAATGTGGTCATGTGGGGAAAGCGTATGGATGATCCTTATGGGTTCTGGAGATGTGAAATGATGGTTAAGATAAATCCAACTAGATAAATAACAGAACCTGCAGCTACTTTAAAAGTTTAACATTACACGTCTAAAAACTGCAACTACTTCCAAACACCGACATGCAGAAGACATGCATTCCTTCAGGTAATCAGACGGCGACTTAACGAGTTGGCTTTGTGTCTAAATGAACGTCTTTCTGTCAAGGCTGCAACCACACAAGGTTTTAACATTTCCACATCATTTCAACACATGCACGAGCTCCACAGATTTCAGCATCAATATTAGTCATCCGTAGCACAGCTTTCATTAATCCTCGTTAACTTTGCTCAACAATTTCACATCTGTTCAGCTACAAACTGAAATGTTCATCCACGGTATCTGCTCAAGTTCCGTGTGTTGCTGTAGGACTATTTCCTCTGAGTTGATTAAACAGCACACGTAGAACGACATAACCAGTAATATAATTAAATGCTTCTAATTATTAATTAACCTCGATGTGGAGACAGGATTTAATCTCTTAAGACCTGGTGTCCACATGTGTGGACATCACATTTTGGGTTATATTACCACAGTAGTTAATTTTTTAAATTTGTTTTTTATTTTTATTGTTTTATTTTTAGTATTTTATTATTGCTTTATATATATATATATGTTACATTTTAATTATATATATATATATATTTTAATCTATTTTTATTTTCTTTCTATTTTTTATTCTCTTTTTTATTCAAATAAAAAATGCGTATCAAGAGCTCGGGTCTGAAAGGTTAAATGCCTGCAGCATCAAACAGCAGCAGGACAACAAAACAATTGCATTTGTGACGTAATTAAAGACTCGTAATTGGAGATTTAGTTATTTGGTCAGCCCTCAGTTCAGATTTAGTCTCTTGTTAACCAGTACATGATCATGGTTTATACACCACTTGGTGTGTGATTCAATCTCTCGTAAAGGACGAATAATTCACAACGCTGCCACTTTAACAGACCGATGAAGCAGCGATGTGACACATTCACATTACTGGTTTGATCCCAGTGGATTCCTGAATGAGAGGTCTGCAGGTCAGAATGAGTCATTTGACCTGAAATAGCATCAAAATCCATCTGACACACATAAATGAGGTCTGATGTGAGCACACTGCAGCCCTCCTGACGCCGAGGTGTTAGATTCCCCCACAGAGTCGATCAGGACAGCGTCTAGTGCAGACGGGAGGCCGTCCAGCTGTTTGACAGAAGGACTGGATGGGAGAGAGGAAGACGAGCGTTGGATCTCAGGCCTGAGCGGTGCCAGCCAAAGAAAATATTTAAGAGGTTAGAAAAGAAGGAACGCCAGCACACGCCTTCCTCCCACATCAAAGAGGCTGGAAACTACTGCTGAGGAGGAAAACAGCCGAGAAAAGGGCTGAAGAGAGATGTTTCCCCTCCACGTCCAAGGTCACAGGTCGACTCCTCAACGCCAAGGTGGAGCAGGCAGGTGCTGGAACCTGCCGTCCCCACACTGGTGGTCTTCACTCATTACCCTCCTGCTGCTGTTTTATCCCTCATTTGTCAGACAGTAAAAACAGACAGACAGTAAAGTTGGATCACATAAAAGCACAAAGACAAAGCCTGACCCGCATTAAGCCGCACTTTCATCCCGGGATTTGGGATCCAGACGTCGTATTTATGAAGGCGGCCTGAGTTTTTTTTCCCTCTGTGGTTTTACTTGTAAACTAAAGAGCCGGGAGCTAAAAGAGCAAACAAGCTACAGGTCTGCTCTCTTTAAAAGGAGGTGAGCTCCAACACATGGGTTGCATTGAATGTTAAAAACTTGGAGGCTGCATTTTCATCTCTCATCGTGCCTGTGCAGAAAAAAAAAATGCTCGTAAACCCTCAGAACCTCAGTGTTCAGCTGTGGGCCAAACTAAATGCACATAAAAGCCCGTTTTCTGGAGTCCAAAACACTGGAGCACAGAGCTCCAATGTAATATTAATGTCAGATTACAGACAACAACCACGATTTAGATTAATAGTTAAAACTAAAGATGGGTAACTTTTAAAATATTTAGCTATAAAAAAAACACCAAATTTATATCTGATTCCAGATCTCTGGCTGCTCAAACCACCTCTGACTCACTGTTCCAACACACGAGCTTTTAAAAGATTAACTTTAGCTCGCTTTCCCAAAATTCAGGCTTTGAAGCGACCTGCTTTGACTCACTATTCCAGGCACCAGGCTCTAAAGAGACCAACCTTGGCTCGCCGTGTGCTTCGGGGAGTGTGATTGGACTTGGCCAAACTGGCTCCTGGTCTTAACACAGATGGCTTTATGATTTCTGTCGAAGCCAGATGAGAATGACTTCACAGTTTGGCTAGACGAGGGCGGACAGGACACACAAACACAGAGCAGTACAGAACTAAAGCTCACCTCTGTGATGACCTGCAGGTCTTTGAGGTAGGTCCGCTCCGTGGTCAACAGTTCCTTTGCTATGAAGTAGGCCTTGTCTGTGGGAAACTTCTGGACACAAACACAAAGATGAGATCGATCCAAACTGTTCTCATCTTCTATAGAAAACAGCTTCAGTCCTCAGCAC